TATACGAGGTTTATAAAAGTCATTTTAATAAGATTATTCCCGAATGGAATTGGGACAGGGTACTTGTTGACCTGGTAGGCAATTAAGACCACATGTATCATATTTTTGATAACTAAAAATATTTATGTTTTCTTATATAGTTAACAGTAATTATACTTTTCAACCCGGACCGTCCAAATATAATCAACAAGGATGTTATTAAGTGAGAAAATAATATAACTATAATAATTTTGTAAACATTATTTTAAAAATATATTGTGTCTAGGTATCAACAAAAAATGTATATTTATTTACTGCAACGATACTTATCGATGAAATACCGGTGGGAATGGTTGTGGAGATACAAGATGTCAAACCTTATGAATGCATTAATTGACGTCAATATTGTCGGAAGAATTGAGATATTAAATGGTGTCGAGGATTACATCGAGTATTTTGGACCCGTTTCTCAAGAAATGTTTCGCGATATTTATAAGGATTGATGAAATTTACCAAATATTTCTGACTATAACGCATAAAACATGAAATATATTTGTAACTGTCCAAGAATACAATATATACAATAGTTACAATATTATACATTTCTATTCATTACACATTTAAAGTTGCTATCTTATAATTATGTTTATATTCAAACTCGTATTATAAAAATCTAATATAATGTTTGAAAGTTATTGAATACAATTAAATAAAGTTAAATAAAGCGCTTGAAAGGAAAATGAGTTATTCATTGTAGTTTGCCTTGAAATGTACAATTAGGTAATCAAGGTTGTTGTTATTATTATATTTAGTAAATAAAACATTAAACAAATTTAATAAAACTATCTAAACTTAAAAATAAATTTGCAAAATTAAATTGTATTTTATTTTGAAAAATTAAATTATTAAAAAAGTAATTTTTATTCCCAATGATATCATGGCAATTCTGGTTTGTCGTAATATAATTAAAACTTGTGGCAATTGTTTTTGTTGCTGGTTATGACTTATAACGCAATCGCAAAATTGTATATCAACTCTAAAAATATATGCCTATTTATTATACAAGATATTTCATCAGATATACTGTACTATACTGTATGAATTACATACAAATTCATAATATTTACAATGTTTGAAAAGTATTTTCTGATGAAAACATTAATAACATTTAATATTGAAGTTATAAAGTATTATTATAAATAGGTACAATATACATATCCTTCCTTTATGTATTTATTTATATATTGTGTAATTTACCTTAGAATTTAATGATTAAACTGTATTTATATTTAGATAAATTCATATAATACAGTATTCATTAAAATGAAGAGACAAGTGAATAAAATTTGTGAAATTTGCAGCGATAAAGGAATTGGTAAATAACATGTTAAATAAAATTTTATTTAAAATTCTTAATTATAAATTAATATTTTATAAGAAATAAGTAATTAGTTATTAATATAATTTTATCATAAACTCTGATGACTTATAGGCAGACACTTCGGTGCAATTACTTGTGAATCGTGTAAAGCATTCTTCAGGAGGAATGCCAACAAAGAACAGGTAATAAAAAGTGTAAATAAATTGATATTAGTATTATTCATGATTTTTTGATTAGTTATTTGAGTGCCCTTCGGATGGAAAGTGTAAAATAAATATAAACACTAGAAAGTTGTGTCCCAAATGTAGACTTCATAAATGTTTTGCAGTGGGTATGAAAAAAGTAAGTTATTGTTGAGCATTATTTAGACCAACAAATTAAAACGTGTTGTATTTGACAGGAACTCATACAAAGCAATGAGGAAAGGGAGCAAAGAAGGCGAGTGGTGGAAGAGAATCGACGCAAACGACTAGTAAATGAAAGCCAAACCTCATCTTCAGATGCAAATGAGTCCTCAAATCCGCCATCAATTGTGTCGACCATATCTGATGACTCCTTCTTGTGTGACATCACTGGTAGTGTTTTGGACGTCACGGATGAGGACCTGAGCGCACAGATTATGGAAATTGAAAATTATGTGAATAATGAGGACACGGATCAGAGTATTGAGACATTGGGTGAAAGACTAATGTTGAAAGAGATCAGACAGAGGGCACAGAAAATAGTTGTCATTCCTATGTTCAAAGAACTCACGGATTATAACGGTTTGAATGACTTAGAGGTCAATAAGATTGGGGAGCTATTGGCCATATCCAAAATATTTGACTACCCGGATACTAAAAATACATTAATAATCCAGAACAAATTAGACTATGTTCATGTTTACTCGAAGAGATCTGAAGAGAGTGTTAAGGAAGCGCTAAACTATTGCAAAGGGTTGAGTGGATTCACAAATACATGCCCTGATGATCAGTATACCTTGTTCAAACACGGGTCTGTCGAAATGATGCTACTTAGATCTCTAATGTTCTACAACGACGATGAAAAATATTTTAAACTCAACTTGGTATTTATAAATTCTATGCTAGCATATATACATTGATAATAACTTTCTGTCATAGGATAGCGAGACTTCATTTGTAGTTAGTTTTGATTTATTTCAAGAGGAGCTCCCGAACCATATAAAACAGTTCAAATATTTTTTCGAGGAGTACCTGGACAAATTTCTACCACAATGGAAACGGGACCGGCTCATTTTGGAATTGGTATGACAAATAGTGTAGCTAAATATTAATTAAGTTTTATATTTATAAAACTTTTCAGATATCTGCGATCGCACTGTTTAACCCAAACCGACCTAATCTTAAACATAGACATAATATCAGGTATTAAATACTCAATGTTGTTTTTAGTAGAATTTTTATAATAATAAAATTAATTTATTGTCATTTTTATTTATATAATAGACTGGAACAGCAATTGTATATTTATTTACTGCAAAGATATTTACTATTGAAGTGTCGATCGGATTGTGAATCTCAGGAAAGGTTATGTCAACTAATGAACACTTTCGCCGATATCTACAAAATGATTGAATTGCATAAAACTCTAGGATATGAAGAAATTAAAGAATACGTACAATATTCTGGACCACTTATCAAGGAGATTTATGATTTTCCATTAACAGAATAAACATCTCTATAATTATATTAAAATTAAATCTAATCAATTGTTTATGACAAATTAAATTATTTAACAGTTTAAATATTATAATTTACTAGTTTTTAAAATTTTAAAATATATAAATATATTTTACTATTATCATTTTACTATCACAATAATAACCAATTTATTTACAATAATTAAATAAATTACTATTTACAACATTTATTATAAATCTTGTGACAAATACTCTTAAAAACATAAGTTTTTATAATTTTTATTATAATAAATACCTGTGCTGCAAATATAATTATTTAATATATCATGTATATAAATTGAAAGTTATTAAAACATTTAATAAGTAGAAGTAAAAAGTAATAAGTACTGGCACAACACTTTTGATATCATTACCATAAGAATTACTTAATACTGTAAATTTAACTTTAATCAAATTAGGAATTCTAATAAAACCATTAATTTTTATCCAGGTAGATGTCATTATCTATACCGATGTATTAGAATTGTGATATAAATATAGCTTTTGTTAATTGTTGATATCGTACAAACCGAAAGTACTAAAACAAATCATCATAAAAGTTTATTAGCATTATATTGTTAGTCTATTATACAGCATATTTCATATGTAAGTGGGATTACAAATCCATTATTTACTGCACATTTATACTATTTATAATTATTTAAAAAGTTTACTGATTACAGTAATATTAATTTATTCATTAGTTTAAAATGCCATAAGTATATTTGAAAAATAAATAGTTCCTTACTATTGAATAGAAATAATAATTTATTAATGAAACTATTGGTATTTATATCTTGTAATAATTTATCAAATTCTATGTTAATATGGAAATATATTCTTAAAATAAATTCATAGAATATTAATTAAAATGGAAATCAAAGTGAACAAAATATGTGAGATTTGCAGCGATAAAGGAATTGGTAAATAAATATTATTAATATAATTTTATACAAGTTTCTTAATATTAAATTAATACGTTACCTGTATAAAGAATAAGTAACTAGTTATTATTATTATCATTTATCACAAACTCTGATGACTTATAGGCCGACACTTCGGTGCCATTACTTGTGAACCGTGTAAAGGATTCTTCAGGAGGAATGCCAACAAAGAACAGGTAATAGAAAAAAGTGTAAATTAATTGATGTTATTATTCATGAATTATTGTGAATAGTTAGTGGAGTGCCCTTCGGATGGAAAGTGCAAAATAAGTATAAACACTAGAAAGTTGTGTCCAAAATGTAGACTTAATAAGTGTTTTGCAGTGGGTATGAAAAAAGTAAGTTATTGTTGAACTCTATTTAGACCAAAAAAATAAGACTTGTTGTATTCACAGGAACTCATACTAAGCGATGAGGAAAGGGAGCAAAGGAGGCGAGTGGTGGAAGAGAATCGACGCAAACGACAATTAAATGAAAGCCAAACCTCATCTTCAGAAGTGAATAAATCCTCAAATCCTGCATCAATTGTGTCGACCATATCTGATGACTCCTTCTTGTGTGATATCACTGATGGTGTTTTGGACGTCACCGATGAGGACCTGAGCGCACAGATTATAGAAATTGAAAATTATGTGAATAATGACGACACGGATCAAAGTATTGAGACATTGGATGAAAAGCTTATGTTGAAAGACATTAGACAGAGGGCACAGAAAATAGCTGTCATTCCTATGTTCAAAGAACTCACGGATTATAACGGTTTGAATGCATTAGAGGTCAATAAGATTGGAGAGTTGTTGACAACATCGAAAATATTTGACTACCCTGCTACTAAAAACACAATAATTATTAAAGAAAAGGCTGATTATATGAGAATCTTCTCTAACAGAACTGATGAGAGTGTTAAAGAAGCGCTAAATTATTGCAAAGGATTGACTGGATTTACGAGTGCATGCGCTGAGGATCAATTAACCCTGTTTAAAATCGGGTGCATCGAAATGATGCTACTTAGGGCCTTGATGTTTTATAACGACGATGAAAAATATTTTTAATTAAACATGGTTTGTATAAATTCAATATACGATATATTCATTGATAGTAGCAATGTGTCTGTCATAGGATAGCGAGACTTCATTTGTAGTTAGTTTTGATTTATTTCAAGAGGAGATGACGAGTCATATAAAACAATTTAAGGATTTTTTCGGAGAATACATTGATAAATTTCTACCGCAATGGAAACGGGATCGTGTCATATTGGAATTGGTACGACAAATGTTGCATGTTTAAATTGTTTATTTATTTTTAATCGTAAAATTGTCAGATTTCTGCGATCGCACTGTTCAACCCGAACCGACCTAATCTTAAACATAGACATAATATTAGGTATTAAATGCTACTAGTATTTAATAAATTTCTATAATACTATAATTATACGATTAATATATTGTTGTTTTCTATTTCTATAATAGACTCGAACAGCAGTTATATATTTATTTATTGCAAAGATATTTACTATTGAAGTGTCGATCGGATTGTGAATCTCAGGAAAGGTTATGTAAACTAATGAACACTTTCGCCGATATCTACAAAATGATTGAATTGCAAAAAACTCTTGATTATGAAGAACTTAAAGGATATGTTCAACATTTGGACCTCTGATCAAGGAGATTTATGATGTCCCAACACCTGAATAAAAACATCTATTTATATTACAAATAAACTAGACAATTTTTGAATAAAATTTAAATTATTTAACCGAACAAATTTTACTATTTACTTTATTAATTAAAAAATATATAAATATAACTACTAAAGTGTTATTTTGCAGTGACATTAATAATCAATATATTTACAATAACAAAATAAATTACTATTTACATTAGGGTAATATCTTAAATTTGAATTTATTTATTAAAATTGTTGTGTCAAATATTCTTTAAAAAAATAATGAAAATATAAATAAGGTTTACGAAAAGAATTGCAAAATAATAAATACTTTAAACAAATTAAGAATATTAAGAAAATCTTATTTTGTACAAAAATAGATGTCATTGGCTATACCGGTGCAATAGATTTATTACAGTAGAATAATAATAATACAGTATAGTTATTATAAATATTGTGATAATTGCATTTGATTGCTGATAAAATACACAATCAATCGCTTAAGGGAGTAAAACATTATTACAGTATTATTTTTGTTAGTCCTTGTCAGTCCATTATACAGCATATTTTTCATATTCAACTATAGTGAATTACAAAACCATTATTTTCTACATATTCCTACTATTGAACAATATTTATATTTATAATTTTAGAAAAGTATTTTCTGATGACAATGAGAGTAAAAATTTTCTTATAATCTAATCATAGGAACTATATTTTTAACATAAAAATTTAATTAAATATTAATAAAAACTTAAAGAAATTAATAATTTATTAATAACATAATTGTTAGTATTTAGTGTATAATATTTCTGTATATTTTGTAAATACTCGGTAAAATTAAGTGATATTATCGAAATATATTAATAAAATAAATAAAAATGGAAATAAATGTGAATAAAATTTGCGAGATTTGCAGCGATAAAGGAGTCGGTAAATAATGATAAAATAATAAATTGTATATTGTATTATGTTTTATATTGAAATAACGTAGCGATTACTGGTATTAATTGTGGTCTCAATTATAATGTCTTTTAGGGCGAAACTTTGGTGCCATTACTTGTTACTCATGTAAAGCATTCTTCAGGAGGAATGCTCCCAAAGATAATGTTAGAAAAAGTGACACAAAATGTTTTTACTATAATTTCAAATTAATGGTTATAATTGTTTGAAATGTTCATTCAATAGCTATTGGAGTGCCCTTCGGATGGAAAGTGCAAAATCAATGCAAACACTAGAAAGTTGTGTCCAAAATGTAGACTTCATAAATGTTTGGCTGTGGGTATGAAAAAAGTGAGTTATTGTTTGAACACCATTCATACGAAACTAAATTAATGTTTTTGTTTTGTGTATTGAATACGACAGGAATACATATTAGGTGATGAGGAAAGGGAGCAAAGGAGACAATTAGTCGCAGAGAATAGACGCAAACGAAAACAATTGAGTGAAAGTCAAAACACATCCTCAGAAGCGAATGAACCCTCAAATCCACGGCCACTTGAGTCGACCATATCTAGTGATTGTGGTGACAATAACTTCTTGGATGATATAATAGGATGTGTTTTGGATGAGCACTCGGATCACAGTATTGAGACATTGAAAGGCAGACATAAGTTAGAAGATATCAATGAGAAGTCACAAAAAATAGCTGTCATTCCGCTGTTCAAAGAGCTCACAGATTATAACAGTTTGAATGAATTAGAGATCAATAAAATTGGAGAGTTATTGAATACATCCAAGATATTTGACTACCCGTCCACCAAAAACATAATAAAACTTAAGGACAAATCAGAGTACGTAAGGCTTTACTCCCAAAGAACTGAAGATATTGTCAAAGAATTGCTTAATTATAGCAAAGGGTTGAATGGATTTAGTAGGCTATGCGATGAGGACCAGTACACCCTATTTAAGTACGGATGCTCTGAAATGTTGTTTATTAGAAATCTGATGTATTATAACCACGATGATAAACAATTTACAATATACATGGTATATAAATGAATCATAATTGAAATAAGTTTTATTTAGAAATTTATTTACATAATGGTCTCTCTTATAGGGTAATGAGACTTCATTTACCATTGGTTTTGATGTATTTAACGATGAAATATCCGGATACTTTGTATCATTTCAAAAGTTATTCGAGGAATATATAGACAAATTTTTACCATGTTGGAACAAGGATCGTATCATTATGGAATTGGTATGGCAATTATTTTAGTTAGTACATAATATACAAAACATAGTTATAATTAAGTTAATTTATTAGATTAATGCGATCACACTATTCAACCCAAATCGACCCGGTCTTAAACACAGATATAATGTTAGGTAATTGTACCTGCACCAAATAGTCACTTGTTATTGACTGCAAATATGTGTATGTATGAGGGAATATGAGAAAGGGTTTGTAAAGTAAAATGAATTATCAAATGCTAATCACAGTTTATAATCTCATGTTATCATAGTAGATTAAATAATTTATTTGCAGTCAATTTTGCGTGATACTAGTAATATATTTTATTATTTCTATAATTAATTTCTTATAACTATGTTTTCAATTGATATGGTGATAGACTGGAACAGCAATTGTATATTTATTTACTGCAAAGATATTTACTATTAAAGTGTCGATCGGATTGTGATTCAAAAGAAAGATTATGTAAACTAATGAACACTTTCGCCGATATCTGTAAAATAAATGAATTACAAAAATCTATTAGTAATGAGGACTTTAAAGATTATCAACAATATACTGGACCACTGATCAGGGAGATTTATGACATACAAATAAAGTAACATTACCCGATAATATGGAATTATATAAACATTTTGTATTAAAATTATTCATTAATAATAATATTTTTACATATCATTTTTTACTAAAAAGGTAATACGTTTCTTTGATTTCGCAAAACAAAATAAAACTTGTATGGAATTAATCTTAATTATATAACTAATAAGTTTGGTAGGGTGAGCCGTGCCAATACAACCCGGCTGATTTTATATGAATTTTTGATTATATAATTATTCTCTATGTGATTTGTATATAAAGCAATATTCTAATTAATCTTAATTATATAACTAATAAGTTTGGTAGGGTGAGCCGTGCCAATACAACCCGGCTGATTTTATATGAATTTTTGATTATATAATTATTCTCTATGTGATTTGTATATAAAGCAATATTCGCGTATTTTAATTACTATTTCATTCAATGAATTTGTATTTTATGAGTAATATTATAATTCAATCAGTTGCACCAAGATTATTACCCTTTTACGTGGGCTTATCACCGGCTCTAGCGGTAGAAAATAGTACTATTTTCCCCGGGGATAAGATCATATTATCCCCTGTCAAATTTATAGACATCTGTCAGCTAATATATGCGACTAAAAGTGTAACTAAAGTTTTAAAACTGTAAAAAAGATTTTTAAATGTGTGTTTCATATAGTATTTATACGGTAATAAACACATGTCTGTCTTATTATATGTAATCATTATAAATGTGTGACAAATTAGTATCTCAAGTGATGGACACTAATGATGACATTTGTTTAGTAGACAAAGAGGTTAATAGCAATGAAACTAAAACACCGATTAAAAAGACAACAGTTATTGAAAAGGTGGTCAACGTGTCATCAGATGATGAAATTCATCACAAAGACATTGAAACAAACCAACCACTCAACACTTCAATTGCAAAACGCAAAACAAAGCGGAAGTCATATACTATCGAGACGAAGATAGAAGCTGTCGAGTGGTATATGAATGAGGGAGGATCTAATGCAGGCATTACCGCCAAACGCTATGGTGTGGACCTCAAGACTATTAAGGAGTGGATTACCAAATACGACGACCACAAAGCAATGGCTAGCAATCGATTGATGTCAATCGCAAAGCGACGAACCCTTCAATATTCGCGAATACCTTTAATACCAGAAGTCGATGAGAAAGTTCTTGAATTTCATAAACAGAGAAGAGATAAATCATTATCTGTTAGTGGACAAGACTTGATGGATAAGGCAATCGATGTGTATAAAGAACTGAAACAAAAAGACACACATCTGCCAGCGTTCAAAGGTAGTTCTGGATGGCTTCAGGGATATCTTGAACGGAATAATATGACCTCAAGAATGGCAACGAGTGTGGGACAAAAAATTCCCGAAAATGCCCGAAATTTAGCACTAAATTACTTTGAATTTATTGATAATTGGAGAAAAGCGGACCCTTCAAGACTCCAACTTATCATAAACATGGATGAGGTCCCCATGTACTTCGACTCTCCAACTTTGCGGACATATGAACAAAGGGGCGCCGATACGGTTAAAATGAAGACCACTGGCTATGAAAAGATGCGGTTTACGTTAATGGTCTGTGCCGATAATCAAGGCAGAAAAGTGCGGCCCGCAATCATTTTCAAGAATTTGACAAAGATTCCCAATGAGAAGTTTCCTAATGGCATAGATATATATGTCGCAACTAAAGGATCAGTAACACCTGTCTTAGAAAACTGGATTAATACCACATACGGTAAAAGGCCAGGGGGTCTTTTCCTTAACACTCACACTAATCGTCAAGACCCACGGGATTGTCGCACACTCTTGACTTGGGATTCAGCTACACCTCATCTCTCTGTTGCAGTAAAACAACTATTTAACCAATTTGACACACATCTGGCAGTCATACCCGGTGGTATGACACCGTTGCTCCAACCGGCCGATCTGAGCTGGAATAGAAGTATAAAAGCCAAAGTCAAGAAGTTTTGGACCCAATGGATGGATAGGGAATTGACGGATAAAGACTACACCAAAGGAGGAAACCCAAAGAGAATTTCGTATTCAAAAGTAGCGGAATTCTGTCTGAACGCATGGAATGAAGTCGACCGCAGCTTAATTGAGAAGTTTCATTTATTGCAATTTGGGAGTCAAAAGAGATGACGACAAACTACACCATAAATTAATAAATATTATCATTGAAAACCAGATCCCAGAAGAGGACAGCAATAAAGAGACTGGTATTACAGACACAGAAGACACAGACGATGAATCCGATGTTGAAATCATAGATAATTAAACTTAATTGTATTCTGTATTACAATTGATTACTAATTCGGAAATATGTAAAAATAATAAAATGTTTGTAATCAGGTGAACGAGTCCACATGTTTGTTTCTGGTAATTCAATTCACTTCTCATGGTATTTATAGGTGTGAGACTGTTGTACCGGTGTGACGGGGTAAAGTGGCAGTCAGTGTTGAGACCCGTGAGCTATTATCTGACCAGAAACAGTGATCTACCGCTGTGTTCATAGTGTACCGCTGTGTAGTGTTTTCGGGGATAAGATCATCTTATCCCCGGGTAAATTTAATAGTTCCCGAAAGATAGCGATAGTGGCGACCGGGGACTAGCCCACGTAAAAGGGTAGTAATACAAATAATACATGTATTGTATATTATAAGTATAAAGTATAGTGGCTAATGTTGACATTGATTCATACAGTATATTCACTATTTGTTTGAATTAAAACATTCCAATAATTAACTATTCATAGTATGTATTTTACTAAAGGTATTACTAATAATCTTGGTGCAACTGATTGAATTATAATATTACTCATAAAATACAAATTCATTGAATGAAATAGTAATTAAAATACGCGAATATTGCTTTATATACAAATCACATAGAGAATAATTATATAANATTACTCATAAAATACAAATTCATTGAATGAAATAGTAATTAAAATACGCGAATATTGCTTTATATACAAATCACATAGAGAATAATTATATAATCAAAAATTCATATAAAATCAGCCGGGTTGTATTGGCACGGCTCACCCTACCAAACTTATTAGTTATATAATTAAGATTAATTCCATACAAGTTTTATTTTGTTTTGCGAAATCAAAGAAACGTATTACCTTTTAAAACTTTGTTTACTACAAATTATTAATTTTGCAATTAATCAAATTAATATTCTATTAATCAAGTTAAGTCGTTTAAATAGTTAAACTATTTACATTAATACTGAATTTAAAATAAATGTATTTATTATTAGTTATGTGTCAAATACGGTAATCTTAAAATGAAAATATAAATAAGTTTTATATTGGAAATACGTGTCCTTCAATTATTATTAATACTAATTTATATGAATTAAATTCCATATATATGTGTGAAAATTTATTTAAACAACAAAAATCTCTGCCATCATACAATATTCTAATATCTATCGATACTGTATATAGTGCACAGAATTTTCTAGGTTAGAAATAAATTTTCTCTGTGTATTTATTTTATACCTGTTTTATTGTTTTACACCTTTACCTGTATTTTCAAAATACATAGAGAAAATTTATTTCTAACCTAGAAAATTCTGTTCACTATATACAGTATCGATGCAAGCAAATAATTTTTTGTAATTTAAAAGACAATTCGAACAAAGGTGAGAGCACCCCGATCCATCGAACAGTTGCTGAAATTAATGAATTTCAAATCATCACAATTTCACAAATAAAGATTTTTTAAAAATCAATAAGGCAAAATTTCTCAAAATCCAGAATTTACGTTTTTCATATTGACCATGCGCATAATTTCCAAGAATCAAAACTTACCTACATATTATAGTTTTTGTGTTATTGATGGACAGTCATATCTGCCTTTCCCCTTATGTCTATATAAAATTGGGCATACCGATGGATTGGTGCCACAAAACAATAGTTGCAAAAAATTTTATTTTGTTCTAGCACAATTCTACGATTTTTAAAGCTAAATAAACGGGTAAACACCCTTTTGTCAAACACTTTAGTAATGTACCAGTACCAATAGTAAAAGATGTACTTTAATACAAATATTTATACAGTATGTCAAGTTTTTCGTACTATTATTATCTGATATTATTTCATTTATAAACTGTAAGTTTGAAATATAAAAGACTAACAATAATTTATTTTTTTTAATATTATAATACTTTAATATTTTAATTATCAAAAACTAGTTTTTTAATTATTATTTTGAATTTATAAAAATTGATTTTATGATGACTTCAAGTGTGTTTATAATTATTTTATTAATTTCAAATATTATGTGTTATGAATCAACAAGCTTAATTAATAATATTACCTCAATATCATCAACCACAAAATTACTATTCTACAATGACATGGACGGTATTTATTTGAAAACCGATATCACTGGCCATGATACAAGCTTTAATAACTGCGTTAAATTAACCCCGGACGATCATAAATTAATATATGACCTTGACTTTGATTACGCTAATAATGCACTATTTTGGCTAAATTACGGAAACCACCAGGGTGTGTCAAAGTTTGAACTATACGGGGCACCTATTAACAAAACTAAACCCTCACTATATAAACGTACAAAATTGCTCGGGGTACTCCGGGAGGGCTCTAGCCGTATGGCCTACGACTGGATACATAACTTGATGTACGTGTCGACCTCTACCGGCATCCAAGTGTTCAATGTTTTAGATAGAGATCTATACGTCTATGACGTTGTAATACATAATGAGACTACCATTGACGTGACACTGGACCCACGGGTAGGCCTACTATTTTGGTCGCAACAAAATCGCAAGAATTATACTCGAGCTATATATCGGAGTAATCAAGATGGTACAAATATAACTAAATTGTATCAGGGTGACACCGGAGACACGCTTACATTGGATGTTAATGAACGCGTAATTTATTGGTTTAAAGATAATGTTTATTCGTGCGATTACCATGGTAAAAATATTAAATTATACAGGTCAGATAGCCAATATATAGAATTTGAAGTAACTGGAAACCATTTGTACTGGTCAAACTACGGTATACGTAGAGAAGAATTAAATATGACCTGGACAAAAGAAGTTATACAAGATTATAGCCAATTAAAACCTATAAGGTCACTCAAATTATTTGGTAGTCAACAGCAACCTATGTCACTAAATCGGTGTTTAAATAATAAATGTACCTACTTGTGTCTACCTGTTAAAATGAGTTATAACTGCGCATGGGAACAAGTTAATCACACTCAAAATGTGCCAGACAATGTGGGTGAATTTAATTTCCATGTTTTAATTAATATAATAGAAATTAAAAGTACTATTTGATTTATATTTAACAGGTTAACGTTAGCCAATCTGGCGCTATCAAGTAAATGACATTATGTGTTCAAGCATGCTAATTAATCTTGTTATAATCTTGCTATTTTTTATAGAAATTAATTATATAAAATTAATTTAATAATAAATTTAAATCGTTAAAACTTGTGACCATTATTAATGATCTTGTTTAACATTAGAAAACTTTAATTTTAGTATTTCCAAGATAAAGGTGGTCATTAGAAAACATTAGATAAAAATATCCAGCTACTTATATTGGTTTTATTCGCCAGAATGAAATAAAATTGGATATGGTAGATGTCCAAGTCAAATATACTAGTATCATTTTTCAAATGTACAATAAATTGGTGTATAGTTATGTAACGTAAAAACAATTACCACATCATATTAGGGACCAATGACAGAATAATACTACCGTTTAGGGCTGAGGCACCTAGGCCAAGTAGTTATTGTCGATGATGGTACGGAAAGTACTGGGAATTGTAGGACAGGTAGTCAATGGCTCTAATTCTCAAACTACACGCTTAATAAATATTTATAATCACACGCAATGTGATTATTGTACGCAAACAAATTGACCCATCTTATTTAGGGCACTTTGAATGAATTGACATTTTATTCGAATAAATATAATTTATTTTCATTTTAAATAATGTACCACATTAGTAATTTAATGTGATGGTACCCTCACCTCCTGCCCCCATTGTTGATTTCGATTGTATTCTACTTTTTTAAAACCGTGGCCGTTTTCGAGTTCATTATCATTTTCTTTATGTCCACTGGTTTCTGGTCCTGTCCCTTTACTGGTCCATTTGTTGTTCTCGAAAACTTAGATTGTCCCTTTGTTGGTCCCGGTCCTTTTGATGGCCCCTTTGTTGGACCGGGTCCCTTTGGTCCGGGTCCCTTTGGAGCGTTTCCCTTTGGTCCGGGGCCCTTTGGTCCGGTTCCCTTTGCTGGTCCCTTTGTTGGTCCGGGTCCCTTTGGTGCAGGTCTCTTTGGTCCGGGTCCTTTTGCTGGTCCCTTTGTTGATCCGGGTCCCTTTGGTCCAGGTCCTTTTGGTCCGGGTCCTTTTGGTGCGGGTCCCTTTGGTGCAGGTCTCTTTGGTCCGGGTCCTTTTGCTGGTCCCTTTGTTGGGCCGGGTCCCTTTGAGGGTTCATTATTCGGCTTATTTTTTGATCCCTTTCTTTTTCGATTTCGTCGTCTTCTATTTCCCCGTCTTCGTCCCAATCCACCGAATCCTCTAAATCCTTTCAATCCTCTCAATAATCGCAATCCTCTCAGTCCTCCCATTCCTTTCAAACCACCCCATCCCCATCCAGTTCTATTCCTATTACGTCTCACCGGACGTCTTAGAAACAAAAACTTTAACATTTTATCGCCATTATCATCGTCTTCAGGCAGCAATGTTTTATCACTATTATCAGCAACGTCAGTTTCGTCAATATTAATATTGGCAACAATATCACCATCAATACCGGGGTTAATAACACCATCAGTTCCGTTATTATCACCAGTATTGACATTGACAACAATATCGCCATCATTACCAGGATTATAAACCCCATCAGTTCCGTTATCACCACCAATATTAATGTTAACAACCACAGGGTCATCATCATCATCAACACCGTTAGTATCATTACTGCCATAAGCCTGAAGAGGGTTATCACCACTAGTTTCAACGTCAACTGACTGCAATACTTTATCATCACTATCATCAGCATCATCAGTTTCCCCAAAACCACCAGTTCCACCATCAGTAGCATTAACAACCGCACCGGTAGGTCCACCAGTTTCACCACCAGTAGCATTAACTACAGTACCTCCAGAACCGCCATTTCCATTATCAATAACATTAACAACAGCACCGCCAGAACCACCAGTTCCACCATCAGTAGCATTAATGACAGCACCAGTATTATTAGCATCACGTGT